TGACCTGAAGCAAGCCTAAACTTACACAACATCTTCTATTACCTAACCTGTTCTTCCTCCAAAGCCAAGAATGGCTTTAAAAACTTAAGTCAGAATGCCCCTCCCACCTCCAAAAATGGCCATTTCAGCAAAACATAAATTTCCATAGAGAACTTCCTCACCTCAGAATTTATTCACTGAAAAAACAAACCCCGAATATGTGGGGAAAAATGCATCTTTTTGTCAGGAACATCCATTCAATCGCACTTACTGGTATTTGCAGCAATTCAGAGACAACCATCAAAGCAGGCAGGGATGTAAATCTGAAGTATTCTTGGTGACATTTTCCACATTGCAACTACCTCAGGAGCAAGTCAGCCCTGCTGGGTTACTCTTAGGCAAAGATTTGTTTCAACATTCAGATGCCAATTTTCTAAGAGCTCATTAATTTTGAAAGTCTCCACTATCCCACTTCCTTATTTGAGAGGCTTGGAGAAGACAGCATCACCTACCCCATGGACAGCCCCAGCAAGGCTCCACGGTGGTTCTGCTGCTCCCAGAGCTTGCAACATGGAGCACGTGCTGCACGGTGTGATGTGTGCACATCTCTGGTCCCCTCCCCGACTTGTCCCTCCCTCAGACTTGTCTGAGAGTGACACTGCACAGATGTCTGCTTTGGGAGACATCTTGGTCTTCAGGGGGTCCCTGAGCCCCTGCATCCTGCATGTGTGACCTAAGCCCATGGAAAAGGAGAATGCTCTCACCTCTGCACAAGCATATTGACCAAGTGTGAGGTTGCAGGGGGAGGCTTCACCGTGGGCTATCTTGAGGAGCGTCTCCTGGCTGGCACTGGTGAGGAAAGGGCAAAGTCATCACCTCCTTGGCACTCTCACAGCCCCCAGGGCAGCTGGGGAGCAAGCAACAGCAGCAGTGTGTCTGCAAACACAAGCACAGGGCACCAGGGCCGGACTCCTGTCCCTGCTAGGGACAGGTTTTTACCCCTTTATTCCTTCAAATATTAGCAGTAGGGACAGTTATTAGCTACTCTCCTATAAAGGCTCCAGCCCACGTACTAAGGAGAAAGAGCAATGCCAGGCAGCCCAAAAAAATACAGGGGAGCAAATGAGCAAT